CTTACATTCGTTTCTGGTTACGTTAGGAAGTTAGATTTTTGTTTAGGGGGTGTCAAACCAAGGCTTCACTCGCAAGCCTCTCATTGCCCTCTTAACTCGGCAGTAGTGTAGCAACATGCGGTGGTGGTGGTGGCATGGGTTGCTTCCCGTGCTGTGAGTGAGGGTTGGGTGGGCAGGTAGGGAGACAAGATGATGCCTTATTGGAAGACCTGCAGTATTTTGAGCATCCTCTAATTATTGAACCTATTCCAATTGTGTTTTTGAAATTGTTGGATACAGACTTCATACACGTGTTGAGTCGTATTCCTTGCCTGTGTAATGCGTCCTTCTTCACACAGATGGTGTTGTTAGCTTAACATCTTATCCTCAGATGGAGTAATATTACCTCGTGTTGCTGCTGCTGCTGCATTAGACATTTTTAATACATTTTTTGCAACCGCATTTACACTTTAGACTGGTGCTGCATTGCGGAGCCTCATGGCAGGGGCCGTGATGTACCATGCATTAGGGTCAGTAATTAAAGGCGTGTATTAATCTTTCAGGATGAGCTTGAGACGGTTCGGTCACGCCTGGACAAAGTGGAGAAGGAGCGCAGTTACCTGAAGCACGAGAACGAGAAGCTCGAATCCCGGGTCAGTTCATCCTCGCTTGTTTTTATTGATTAATTTTTATATGGATATGAGACCAAGTGTTTTATTTTTTTGTCAAGTTACAAGATGTCAACAAGGGGGCGTCCCCCTCAAATCTATCAACAGTGTGCCTAAAATCAATAAGAAAACATTGGTGCAGGGCATAAACGTTGTTCGGGCAGCATAGTTTAAACACTGGAGGAAAAAAACGGGCGAAGCAAAGACAGTAGCGTCCCACATCAGCAGTGGAGACGGGCAGAGGTAGAGGGCCAACCAGGACCCACACTATAGTGCCGCCCCCACCAGGCCCGCCTAATGTTTAATTGGATATGACCTCGCCGGCCCCAGAGAGCTCCTCCTGATGTCATAGTGGTGTGATGTTATCCCTTGTGGGAGGAGGTTAGGCCACCTGGTGGTCACGCCCAGACCTGTTCTCTTTAGTCTTCCCCCGGCTTCACACCCCTCCCCCCAGTTCATTTCTATTTTTACTGATGCTGTCCACTTTCTTCAGTTTCTCTCTCTCTCTGTCTCTCTCTCTCTCTCTCTCTCTCTCTCTCTCTCTCTCTCTCTCTCTCTCTCTCTCTCTCTCTCTCTCTCTCTCTCTCTCTCTCTCTCTCTTTGAATACTCATCTTTTTTTGTATACTAAACTGCTCTTTGACTCAGAGGACAGGTACCCATCAAGCCATTTCCGTATTATTTATATGCTGCTCTGTATTTGGGCATTGTGTGTGTGTGTGTGTGTGTGAGAACAGGTACTCATTTTTAGAACGACTTACACTTGCAAGTGCAGCACGGAGTGGAGGGGCAAGTGATGAAGGTTGACGGTGGCGCCACCACCACGACTGCCGGTAAGTTAAGTCACTGTTGTTGTCTTAGATTCAGCTGCACGGAGCAAAAAGTTCCAAGTAGCACGGGGCTATGGTGAGCCCGTGGTGGACTTATCTGGCACGGGAACGGGGCTGTAACTGATGTATGTATGTATGTATGTATGTATATATATATATATATATATATATATATATATATATATATATATATATATATATATATATATATATATATATATATAAGTCGCGTGGATTGAGTCTTATTAACGATTTTGTAGTGGCTGGCGCTCTAATTCCCGCGTGGGGTTTCCACCCATATTCTCCCGTTTTCAGAACCTATGAATACACAATAACAATTTGTCGGCGTTGAGTGTTGCCACAGTAGAATGCCACCAAATGTTATTATTGTGAACTTTTGCCAGGTAGACTAAGTGTTGCCATTTCAGTGTTGCGTTTTTGTTGTGATCGCCATGGGCGTTGGTGCCATTCCCAAGTAATCACCATGGGCATTGTTACCATTCCCAAGTAATCACCATGGGCGTTGGTACCATTCCCAAGTAATCACCATGGGCATTGTTACCATTCCCAAGTAATCACCATGGGCGTTGTTATCATTCCCAAGTAATCACCATGGGCATTGTTACCATTTCCAAGTAATCACCATGGGCGTTGTTACCATTCCCAAGTAATCACCATGGGCATTGTTACCATTCCCAACCATTGTTATCATTCCCAAGTAATCACCATGGGCCTTGGTACCATTCCCAAGTAATCACCATGGGCATTGTTACCATTTCCAAGTAATCACCATGGGCGTTGTTATCATTCCCAAGTAATCACCATGGGCGTTGTTATCATTCCCAAGTAATCACCATGGGCATTGTTACCATTCCCAAGTAATCACCATGGGCGTTGTTATCATTCCCAAGTAATCACCATGGGCATTGTTACCATTCCCAACCATTGTTATCATTCCCAAGTAATCACCATGGGCCTTGGTACCATTCCCAAAGATGTCACCACAGTAGGCTGGCTGGTATTCGGTGTTACGTTTATAGGTAGGGACGCAACTTGATTTCTAAGAATGTTCAGTAAAGCCAGTGTTGTGGGTGTGCAGTAGGGGAACCCAGGACTTGCTAAGCAAGACACACTGTAATTCTCCAAGTGTCCAGGGGCCAGATTCACGAAAGCACTTACGAACCTGTACATCTTTTCTCAATCTTTGGCGGCTTTGTTTACCATTATTAAACAGTTAATGAGCTCCGAAGCACCAGGAGGCTGTTTATAACAATAACAACAGTTGATTGGCAAGTTTTCATGCTTGTAAACTGTTTAATAAATGTAACCAAAGCCGTCAAAGATTGACGAAAGATGTACACGTTCATAAGTGCTTGCATAAGTGTTTTCGTGAATCTGGCTCCAGTATTCCAACCTGTTATCCTAACCTGACATTGCTTATAGCAACTATTGGTAAAGCGTACACCAAATTAACTGTTGATCCCCAAACGTTTTCACATTTTGTAATATTAATTCCATTCAATATTTCTTCAAGAGAATGTGTATACAAAGAGCACAAGAGTAATGTACAAGTTGTAGGGACAGGAGTTACACAATCTATGAAGCCACTGTTACGTGAAGCATTTTGGCTATTCCCTACCTGCTGTGTACAGTATACACTATTTAAATATCTAAATATCTGAGACAGATATTCCCTGTCAGGCTGGTTTGTGCGCAAAATGTCGTTTCCATTGATAACTTCATAGCTGGGGACCCAGTTAATTCTAACTTGCATGTAACTGAAGGTTTAGGAGGAGGAGGAGGAGGACTGTGGTGGTTTAGTTTACATTGTCTTGAAGGGCCTAGGATATCTTAAGGAGTCAGTAGATGTTCAATGTTATTGCATTATTATTATGATGGTTATCAAATGTATGTTTAAGGGACAGTTTGATGGCGAATATTTTCGTCTTAATTGTGATAGCAGTATTTGTCACTGTGCCTAATGGGACAGGTTAGTGAGTAGGAAGCTGTTGATGCTGTATAGGGTGGGTTGACGAGGTGCAGAGCCATCACTGTGGTGAGGGTCACTGAGACTACGGTTTCGGCTTTGAGGTGGTGTGGGTAATACATTCCCTACCTTGATTTTGGCAGGAGTCCCCCACGGTGGTGGTGGTGGCCTGTAGTCCGGTGCGGGTAAAAAGAACAAAAATCAGGGGTCTTGCGTGTGTTTGGCGCTATACTAGTGACGTGCATGAGACCTGTCGCCTCTCCCCCGCCCGCCCCCTTCCTCTCCCTAGTCCCGAGGGAGCTGATCGCACGTAACACTTTCATCATTCCGACCAATGGCTGAACAGTAATAAGTTGAGTGTACAAACAAAGCGACTAATGGCACTTATTCTGGTCTTTCCCTGAGGAGTCAAGGTCTAGTGCGGCTGTGCCAAGGTTGTTGGGAAGTGGCTGGCATGGACAGAATGGAGGGATGTCGGCCTCTTCGCGCTCTGCTTCCCTTTTCAACACTTCAGAATCATAATCATATTTCTACTTGGCATCGGAACGGTTTCATAAACCCTTAAGTACATTGTGGGGGAGGGGGGTTGAGAGCCGTGCCTGCTAAACTCGTTTTCCAACACATCTAGATTGGGTTACTAAGACAGGAATACAGTAGGGGGTTACGTATGCTACGCTAAATAATATGCAAGACAGATACAGATGAATATATTATTAAATAATAAATTATTGGTTGAACAATGTTGAATATTGTTGGCTACAGTGAATAACATTTTAATCAAACACACATTTAACACGTTTATAATGACGCTAAACAAAGCATATTTTAGTAAGAATGGCGATTCATGTTGTAATTTTACAAGATAGTAATATAATAATCTTCGTATGCACCTGGTACCCACTACTACCCTTTAGCTCTGAGACCCCACAACTACCATTTATTCCTCAAAATTCACTACTGTACTTCCATTTACTATTAACCCTGAACACCCACTGTGAGGGAGAATTAATCCAGGCAGCAGTGGTTACTTGAAATCATTGTGACAGTAGATGGGCGAGTGATGTAAAGTGTTAAGTGCTGGCTTGTGTTTGATGTGATGACGCAGGGAGTGACAGTGGCTGGTGTTTGGTGGACATCTTCAAAAGAAAACTGACTGTTTTCTAAAAGAAGTTCCGGACCAACCGGGTTGTGGTGGGTATGTGGGCCTGCGGGCCGCTCCAAGCAACAGCCTGGTGGACCAAACTCTCACAAGTCAAGCTTGGCCTCGGACAGGGCTTGGGGAGTAGAAGAACTCCCAGAACCCCATCAAGCAGGTATCAACCAGGTGGTGTTGTAACAGTGGCTGGTGTTTGACGTGGTGACACGATGTGTGTGTGACAGTGGCGGGTGTTTGGTGTGGTGACACGGTGTGTGTGTGTGACAGTGGCGGGTGTTTGGTGTATGACAATGACTGGTGTTTGTGCGGGCAGAGAGACCTGGCGATGTCAGCGAGAAAGGCAGAGGGCGGCGCGAGGCATGCTAAGTTTAGTGAGGTGTGGTGGTCGCTTGGCAGTGTGGTGGTGGGGTGCGTGAGGGAAGGATCGTCGCACAGGGCGCAGCTCTACACAATGAGTGTCATGAGGACCTGAGAACTACACTCCCAGCCATGAACAACCGCGGTAATCCTAACCATCCCATATTTCCCAGCCTCACTGCGCCCTGGTCGGGCTTCACCCCAGGCACCCACTCCGTCCTCAGCCCTCCGCCGCGGTTTCCCTACAGTGTGGACGGGTCGCGCGGGCACCAGAGCTACGTCCCCGGTGGAGTGGTGCGCGGGCCTACGACCATAGGGAGATATGCGCGCTCACCGTCCCCTTCGCTGTACAGTCACAGCAGCTTCGACTACTCGACCTCCGAGCGAGATCGACGACTCTCGCCTCCCGTACCCCGTCATCGCCCTCAGGATGACGTCATCAACTCCGATCCGGTGGTGTTCAATGCCGGGTTTACCTTCAGAATGGGGAAGGAAACCCATGTGCACAACCACGTGGAGGCGCGGGCCGCGTACACCGTCCCTGAGGCTCAGTCATCCAACCTCACCCGCCAGATAGATAAGTTTCTCAAAAAAACGGATCACATGTTAGATCGGTACAGTGCTGTCGTGGAGTCCCGCTCCGCAAACAGCTTGGCAAAAAGGCGAGGCAAGTCTGCAACGCCTGGAAGAGGGCTAGATGACTCTCCGGACCCATCTATGAGCCTTTCCTACCGTGCCCAGCGGTCCACCTCCGCCGCCGCCATCGCCGTCAAGGCTGAGAAACACTTCGAAGCCTTAACTCGCATCGGCAGCAGCACCAGCAAGAAGGCGGCGCCCATCGCCGAACATGAAGAAGACGATGATTTGGAGTCGTCAAGCAGCGACTCATTCGACGAGCTGGACACCGATGACGACATACCGCCCACGACGGACGTCTTCAGCATCTCCGACGACACGTCGGCTGACCTGAGCAAGGTACTGGACACGTCCTCACCGACCTGCTCCTTCGCCAGTGGTGGTGTGACGCGGACCTCTGCTGCCTCCCATCTTGCCTCAGGCTCCATTGACTGAGGCAATGGGGACCATACCATACCCAACCATTCCCTACCCACTATACCCAACCATCCCCCACTATACCCAACCATCCCCCACCATATCCCCCACCATTCCCCCCCTCCATACCACCCACCATACCCCCCCTCCATACCACCCACAATACCCCCCCACCATACCCCCCCCACCATACCCCCCCACCATACCCCCCCACCATACCCCCCCACCATACCCCCCCACCATACCCCCCCCACCATACCCCCCCCACCATACCCCCCGTCATACCCCCATCATACCCCCCACCATACCCCCCATCATACCCCCCATCATACCCCCACCATACCCCCCACCATACCCCCCACCATACCCACCAATCCCCCTCACCATACCCAGCCCTCTCCCATCATACCAAATCTTTGCCACCAAATCTATCTTCTTAAGCTACCATTGGAATACATCCCAATGGTAGCTTAAACCCCCCTTAAAACCCCAAACCCCGTAACACCCTCCATGGCACCTCAACCCCCGTAACACCTCAACCCCCGTAACACTCCATAACATCCCCAAACCCCGTTACACTCCCCATAACACCTCACCCCCCGTTACACCCCTATAACACCTCAACACCTATGACGCCCTATATTCATGACACTGTTAGCCCGTAGCACCCCACTGACAGCTTCGTGGCACCCCGGTTCGTGACACCTCAAGGCAACTTAAAGTTCTAAATCATTGACAAGTCATGATTCCTTAAACTAGTGACACCTGGAGCCACTGATATCCAAATGACACCCGTCTCCTGACATTCTTGAACCCATGGCGCCACCTACAAGAAGGTCGCTTCTCACAGCCCATCTGCCAAGTCCCCCCCCCCCAATAAATCCCCCTATTAAATCCTCCCTTCCACAATAAATCCCTCAATTACCCCTTCATTGCAGATCACTGGTGACTGTGTTTACATGCCGCCCGCTGGAGGGTCGTTCAACATGGCCGCCCACTGTGTGAACCCAGTTCGGGTCTTGCTAATTTGTGTGTCTTATGCTTATCCTAGTTTACAGGCTTAATGTGTGTGTGTGTGTTTTTCTCCGTGATGGTTCCTTGGCTCACTTCTTGTCTTACGAGAAGACTGAACGTAGATCGTGAAATACAGCGTGTATTGTATTGCTTTTTTCCGGCGGTTACTTGTGCAGTATGAGTTTGTGATCGTGATGAGGTGATGGTGTGCGACGCTCTGCGGTCTTGGAGGTTTGCCGCCTCTGTTTATCGTGCGGTGTGTAGCCTATATTTATCCGTAGTTAAAAGTTGTTGTTTTGTAAAGGTTGCCTGATTTTTGTTCAGTGTGTGTGTGTGTGTGTGTTTGGTGTAGGTTACTGACGTTTATTGCCAGGATTGGTGAGGCTGGGGTGAAGGGGGGGGGGGAGGCTGGGGTGGTGACGAGGCTGGGGTGGTGACGAGGCTGGGGTGGTGACGAGGCTGGGGTGGTGGCGAGGCTGGGGTGGTAACGAGGCTGTAGTAGTAACGAGGCTGGGATGATAACGAGGCTGGGGTGGTAACGAGGCTGGGATGATAACGAGGCTGGGATGATAACGAGGCTGGGATGATAACGAGGCTGGGATGATAACGAGGCTGGGATGATAACGAGGCTGGGGTGGTGACGAGGCTGGGGTGGTGGCGAGGCTGGGGTGGTAACGAGGCTGTAGTAGTAACGAGGCTGGGATGATAACGAGGCTGGGGTGGTGACGAGGCTGGGGTGGTGACGAGGCTGGGGTGGTGACGAGGCTGGGGTGGGTTAAAAACCCAAGAATGTCATGTTGGTGTGACATCAAACTACAATACAGTAGATGGAGGAGTTCGCGAGTGTATTACGCAGGTGTTGTGAAGCGGTATGTGGTGGTAGCCAGGCGGCCACCGTCTCCAGCATGTGGGTGAGGGTGCCAATAGCGGGGGGGGGGGGGGGGTCGGGAGGGGCAGGGAGGAAGTATGTGGTGTCGTTTAGTGGGTGTGATGGAACTGCGCTGGTCAGTACTCACCTACTGATACCAGCAGTGCTTCCTCTGCTGTCACAGCTGCACCACCACCACCACCCCCGTATACCACACACCAAGCCTTTCAAATTTATCTGTGTCAAGACCGGCCGTTTAGAGGGGCGGTAGATGGAAATCTGCATTCCCATGCCGATGCCAGAATTTTGCTGCATTGTGAACGAGGAATTACGTTGTTAATATAACGGTTTTCGGCATATTCCGTGTGTTGTTACCACGGCATAAAATGTTTGTGAAGAACTGGGCTAATTTTGTCAGTGAGCTGCCCACCCAGTCTAAAGGCTGTTGTCAGTAAGGGAGTAAAACTTTTTGGTTGGTGTTGAAGAGAAGCAAGAGAGAGAGTATTAAACTTGCGTGGCTGAGTGTGTGTCGGCCACAGCTGTGATGTACAGGCGGGATAAGAAGTGTAAACGTGATCTACAAGTTTCAGTTCTTCAAACAAAGGATATTTGTGGACGTAAATAGGATGCTCAGCTTGTCTTGTGGTCGCTATGTTCAGCATGTGGAGAGCAGCTGGCGACAGGAAGAAACCCCAAGTGACTAAACTGAGTTTTGTCCCCGTTACCCCCATGAGTTAACCCCCCCCCCCCCTCCTGCAGTTTTCAAAATATCCCAAACATCCCAAATTCGACGCCTGAGCCATATTTTGGAGCCAAATTCTGAAGTTACCCGACTGCCACTACCAGCTGTTGAACCTGCTGTCCCAGCTGTGTGAGTTACGTGAATGACACCACCTGTTGAACCTGCTGTCCCAGCTGTGTGAGTTACGTGAGTGACACCACCTGTTGAACCTGCTGTCCCAGCTGTGTGAGTTACGTGAGTGACACCACCTGTTAAGCCTGCTGTCCCAGCTGTGTGAGTTACGTGAGTGACACCACCTGTTAAGCCTGCTGTCCCAGCTGTGTGAGTTACGTGAGTGACACCACCTGTTAAGCCTGCTGTCCCTGCTGTGTGAGTTACGTGAGTGACACCACCTGTTAAGCCTGCTGTCCCAGCTGTGTGAGTAAATGTGCTAGAAATCTACTATTTTCCTGTTGTGTTTATAGCTATAAGAACATCAAGGTATAGTAAACACACACGTTATAAATAACTTAACAAATACTGTATACCTATATTCATAGGGTTAAATTATATACACATAAATATAGGCGCTTGACAGCTGGGTGCACAGTTCTTCGGATTCATAGTCCTGAGGTTCCGGGTTCGATTCCCGGTGGAGGCGGAGACAAATGGGCAAAATGTTTCTTTCACCCTGATGCTCCTGTTACCTAGCAGTAAATAGGTACCTGGGAGTTAGACAGCTGCTACGGGCTGCTTCCCGGGGGGGGGTGTAACAAAAAGGAGGCTTGGTCGAGGACCGGGCCGTGGGAGACGCTAAGCCCCGAAATCATCTCAAGATAACCTCAAGATAGGTACGATTATATTTGGAGGATGGACGCAAGATATGACATTAGATACGTCGGCTTCTAAAAGAATCACCACCAAGGTGGGTGGGTGGGTGGGTGTGTGTGTGTGTGTGTGTGTGTGTGTGTGTGTGTGTGTGTGTGTGTGTGTGTGTGTGTGTGTGTGTGTGTGTGTGTGTGTGGAGACCCACAAGGCGAGGTTCGGGAGGGGTCGTACGATCCAATGTAAAAACTTTGGGGCTAAATTTAGGATATTTCCAGGAGTGCCTTGATCTAAACATTGTCTGGTTTGCTGGGTATCTCACTCTTCTATTGTATCTCACCGTGTGTGTGTGTGTGTGTGTGTGTGTGTGTGTGTGTGTGTGTGTGTGTGTGTGTGTGTGTGTGTGTGTGTGTGTTAAAACTGCCTAATGGCTGAGAAAGACTTTCACCATACAAAACTGCATTGACATTATATTTGAGGTTATCTACTCTCCTCGAAGCTATTTTTATTTGATTTTGAAATCACGTTTTATACAAGATGCTGTCATCCTTGGTTGTAACTCTGACTAGTGGTAAATGTTGTGTGTATGTATGATGGAATATACAGAATTTCTGCTTACATACATACTAAACCTGTTGGTGTTGCTAGCGGAATGGAAATGGATTGGTACCTGGTTACCTGGTTGATGGGGTTCTGGGAGATCTTCTACTCCCCAAGCCCGGCCCGAGGCCAGACTTGACATATTGGTAGTGTGACCTGGTTGCATATGTGATAGGGGATGCAGTTGGCAGATAAGCTTTTATTATATTATACAAAAAATTACACTTTTGAAAACAAGAGAGATTTTTTTCATTTGATCTATAAATAACTGAATTACATTAGGATGTTACTGGATTCAACTTAAAACTGCCTTTTTCCACGTGTGGAGAAAAAGGAGAGGCAAGAAATGTGGAGAGTTTTCACTTGCTTGTGTCTTGGAGTTGGTGAGGAATAAGCAGTGTTGTAGTGTACAAAATATGAGACTCATATTGTGAACTGACGCTCTAAAAACCTCAATTAATTTAGGCTGTGGACTAAATGACGGTCTGGTGGAAATGCTTTACAGCCTTGACGCTTAACATATAAACGCTTTTGTAAACCGAACTGTTATCTTGTATATAATGTAAATGCTATTTATAAATATCACAATATCTACAGAAGATTTTATTGAGACAATATTATCTACTGGAGACGTGTTCCCCCAGAATAAACCAGTACTGACAGTGTTATTGAAAGTAAGATTCCCTAGTGAAGACGTTGCTCTTGCTCCAAGTTACATACTAACCTCAAAATATTATCACTTGGGCAGTGGATAATAGAATAGAAATATCAGGGGGGAAAGCGCCAAGTCATTACGACTATAAAGCACTTGGAAGGGTCAGGATAAGGATTTGGGATGGGACGGGGGGAAGGAATGGTGCCCAACTACTTGGACGGTCGGGGATTGAACGCCGA